CGATCCTCTCTGCAGCTCTGGAAGGGGTAACCATCAACAGATTTTTCCTCCTCCCCCCCCCCCCTTCCTCCTCCTCCTCCTCCTCCTTCTCCTCCTCCTCCTTCCTCCTCCTCCTACCTCACCTGCCAGCAACTTGCCCAGCTCCGTAGCTTCGAAGTCGTCCACCTCGATCTCAAACCTCCCACCTACCGTCTCCTCCCTCCTGCTCATCACGACGACCCTCTGCTCTGCGCTTGCAAGCTCTGCCTCCTCATACGAAACCTCCACCTCCTCTCCCGTGCTCTCCCTGACCAGGAGCACAGCATCTTCTAGCAGTGCCACCGCACTCTCCTTCCCCACTATGGACATCATCGTTGCCCTCCCCCCGACCCTGCTGACCAACAAGTCTCCGACCGTTCCTCCTCCATCGCCAGGTCCCTGGGACTTGTGCCCGACTCCTTGCCCCTTCAACAGCTCTCCCTCCTCTTTCACCTTCACCTCCACCTCTTCCTTCGCTTCTTCCCTCGTCGCCTCCTTTACCTCCGTTGTGGGTTGACGAGTTATCATGGACAACAGGCGCGATTTCTCCTCCTCGTTGTACTCATCTTCCTCCACCGTCATCAAAGTTTCTCCTCTCACGTTCTTCATCGCTATCCTTCCCTGCTGCAGCAATCAGTTGCCTCCTTTCTTGTGCCCCCGACACCGTCTCCTCCTCCTCTTTTTCTCCTCTCCTCCCCTGTTAACCACTCGCTGCTGCTGCTGCTTCTCTACTACCTCCTCTACCTCCTCCTCCTCCTCATACCTCCTCCTCTACCTCCTCTTCCCCTTCCTCCTTCTACCTCCTCCTCTCCTTCTTGCTCCTCCTCCCCTTATCCATACCTTGTCCCTCTCTACCTTCTTCACTTCCGCAAGTTCGAACCTCACGATCGAGGGCTTTGACTCATCGCCGCAGCTGTCAGCCAGGAAAACTTCTTTCCTCGTCAACCCCACTAGCCTCCTCCTACTCGGGAGGAAGAAGACTATCCTGTCTCCCTCCTCCCCCACCATCTCCTCCATCCACTGCTGGCATCTGCTCCATGCTGAGTTAAGCTCGCGCCGCCTGCAGTACTCCTCGTATTCCTCTGACACTTCCCGCCTGCGGAGAAAGTCGAGGAGCTCGCTAGTGCGGAGAGAGGGAGGGATTTCCAGGTCGACTGCAGAACAGTGATGAGGAGGAAGTGATGGAGGAGGAAGAGAGGAGGAGGAGGAGGAGGAGGAGGAGGAGGAGGAGGAGGAGGAGGAGGAGGAGGAGGAGAGGAGGAGGAGGAGAAGCAAGGGGGGTAGGGGGAATGTCCATTACCAGCTTCGAGCTGCAGGCTTCTGATCGAGGAGCGGAGGTTGTAGAGGAAGAGGTAAAGTCGCTGCGGCTGGAAGCGGAGGAAGGAGACGCTGAAGACGACGACGTGGAGGGAGAGAAAGTCGAAGGTCCTGCTGCGCTCGTCGATCCGAATGTCAGAGAGGAGGAGGAGGGGAAGGGAGCTTATGGCGGCCGCGTGCTCGACTTTGATGAACACGAGGGTGCTGTTGTGGAGGAGGAGAATCTGGTGATCGCCGACGAGCTGCATGTCGACTATGACAGACGTGTTGAGGAGCTGAGAGACGTTCAGGGAGGGAGAGGGATACATGCAAGTAGATGCGTTTTCGCTCGAGCATGCTTCCTGCTGCAATGACGCGACTTGTACTGCGAGCTTCACTGTGGCATGTAAGACCTTCTTGGTCAAGAGCATGGTCGACTTGTTCCAAGCCATGTTGTTGATGGTGTTGACTAGAAGCTGGCAAGTAGTGTTCTCCGAGGACTGTCTTCTGTTTGACCTGTTTCTTGTTGTGATGATGACATCTGTATGATTGCTGTCTTTGCCGACGATGTCGTTGCGGATCATGTGCACGCCCGACACTCTGGCAAGAAGGTCGAAGAAGCTCCTCAACTCGCTGACGTGGAAGTGAGAGCTGTTCACCGTGATGTTGCAACTGCAATGATCAACTGTTCTATCTTCACTCGTGCCGTCTTCTTGCAGTATGTACAATACATCTGATTTGTACACCTCTGATGTTATCGAAGACAAACTTCTGAGGTTGCAGCATCGTCGAACACTTCCCACGCAGTAGACGAGATCTACACGTGAAAGAGAAAGACAGGAGGCTGCATTGAAGGGTAAGAAACAAACATGAAGGGTGATCGTAAGATTACATTCATTGCTGACAAACGATAACCACGATGATCCTTCATGTTTTCGTTTCTCATCTTGGAGCCCGATACAGCTAAGAATGTCGCTGTTGTATCATGATAAGGAGGAGATGAAACTGGAAAGCGAGCGATGATGATGGTGACAGTGACATGAAGCAAGGGCAGGAGGGGGAGGAGGAGGGGGAGGAGGAGGGGGAGGAGGAGACAGAGGGAGGAGGAGGTAGAGGAGGAGAAAGAGGGAGGAAGAGGAGGAGGAGGTAGAGGAGGAGAAAAGAGGGAGGAAGAGGAGGAGGAGGAGTCAAGGGGGGGGAAAGGGGAGGGGAAACCAGAGAAAAGCACACATTCAAAATCAATTCACACTTGATGAGGTGAGAACAAGCAATAAAGAAAGACCTTCTAAGTTTGTTGAATTCAGCTTTCTCGCGCTCATCGCTAAAGCCTGACATCACAAATCAGAGACAGGCAACAAAGCTCAGGGTGCAAGACCTGTCGATCGAAAGAGAGATGTACGGTGAGGTACGTGTGAGGAACTGTCGTTAAATTCATCTTCCTTCCCAGTTGTTGCAAGAGGTGGCAAACTTTCCTTGTACATCTGTTGCACCCGAAGGAGCAACTTCTGCACATCGTAACTCTCGCTGATGGCAGAATGCGGCAAGTGAATATCGTGAGTGCGATGCTGCAAGTGAACACCATCACGATCGTGTGTGATTGTCATCTCCATGACAGGAAGGCAGAACAGGGCACAAGGTTCGAGGGACTGGTCGTACTTGATCAGGACAAGAGCATCTGAGACGAGGGCGATGCTCGAGCTCTCCGTCAAGATGCAATGTTGCAACGAAGAATGGGCCAAGATATCCTTGCACGCAGTGGAGGAGGAGGATGGCAGAGATGACTTGTTAACACACCCGTTAGCAACGCACTGGGCAATGTCAGCCATGATTTCTTTCTTGTCCTCCTCAATGCACGTTTCTCCTCCATCAGTCAGCGTCGAGCTCCCTACCTCTCCCATCCCCGCTGCTCTCATTGTGCTGTTTGTGCTGAGAAGCCTCAGCAGAGTTCCATGAAACGCCTTCAGCTCTTCTTCTGCTACTCCCCTCACGTTCAGTCTTGCCATGCTCCTGTTCTCAGCGAAGATCTGTGGAGACAAGACTCAGAACCGAGGTGATAGCAGAAGGCCATTCGGTTGTTATTGCACATCACAACAATGTCAAAATCCTTGACAGCACTTCTCTTACTTCAACGTCTGTCCCGTGGTCACTTCGAACACTCTCAATCGCTTCGATGGGTATGATGGTAACCTGCCGCAAAGATCAACATTTCATCTCCTCTTGCAATGATTTCTTCTTCACATCGGGGGTTTGACTCTCCAGGATGAACACGGTTGTATTCGAAATTCCCACCGCCATGCTGAAAGAATCATCTGTGGAGAGAGATCAGACACGTGAGAAGAGAAAGAGAAAACATCGCAGGCCGACATCAAACATCATGAAACAGGAGGAAAGTAATGTCAAGAATACTTGTTAGCAAGCACAAAGCAGACAATGGAAGGAGCACTGAAGAAAATGAGGGGAGCAGAGCAGATGAAAATATCGCAGGCAGGGAACACAAGGGAAAGATATTGGTAGGAACCAGATTGATCGGATCATCAGACATGGGCATACCATAATCATATTCAGGTCCATGTCACTCAGATGATAACACACACAACGACAACGATAACATCATCTTCATCTTCATCTCCATCCTCATCTCCTTCCGAAGGGTCATCATCATCATCATCATCATCATCATCATCATCATCATCATCATCATCATCATCATCATCTCCATCATCGTCTCCATCAAACAACCTCAAAAATGAGGTTATTTTGGATTGCAATCCTTCGCATCTGCGCTTGCAAGCGCTGAGTCTCCGTCTGTAGCACTCAAAGGTCAGCCCGTAAGATACTCAAGACAAACTCGCTCGCAACTTCCCACATAACTCCCACAGTCCTTCCACATGACTGAAGAATGACAAACAGCAGCAGCACCTCGATGATCTTGTCGGCATTCCTCTTCCTCTTCCGCCACAGCCCAACGATCGACTCCCCCCTTCCAGTCCCTCCTCCACCCTCCCCCCTCGCTCCCCCCTCATCCTCCTCCTTGCTCTCATGCTGGCGCTTGTTCCGCAGGAACAACTCAAGGAGGCGTCCAGCGTGCACGACGCCTTGAGTTTCAAGTTTTCTCTCATCGAAACATGTCAAGGCCGCTGGTTCCACCGTGTGTCTGCGCCGAGATTGATCAGAGGCAGTTGTCAAGGTGTTGAGAAAGTCTATGAAGGAGGAAAATATTGATTCTTCGAGGAGAGACACCGGGAGGGAGAACTGGAATGATTGCAGTCAGTGGCAAGACATGTTAGAAAGCTGCGAAGAAGAGGATCAAAGGGGAAAGGACGGAGGAGGGAGGAGGGAGGAGGGAGGAGGGAGGAGGGAGGAGGGAGGAGGGAGGAGGGAGGAGGGAGGAGGGAGGAGGGAGGAGGGAGGAGGGAGACAAGAAATAGAGTAAGAGAGGGAAGAAAAAATGCTACCTTTGAATGACCAGGAGCATCGATGACAAACAGACCATTCGTAATGTACCATGTTCTCCTCCTGTTGCCTTTGTCTGCGGTGACGGCAGGAAACGTTCTGACAGAGGAGGGACTGGCCATGAAGAAATCATCTCCCACTACAGCAAGGATGAAGCTTCTGCCAAGGAGAAATCCAGAAACGTCTCTCAAGTCGAAACAATGGCACTGCCCACCGTCACTCTCCCCGCTGGACCCCTCTCCTCTCTCCATCAACTCTCTCAATATCCTCTGCTGGGCCCGATCGCCGCTGACATCCAGCATCTGAGGTGCGTCCTCGCCACTGAGAGGCTTTGCGCCGACATCAGTCTCCTCCCCTGCCTCCTCATAGAACAAGTCCGCCGCTACGATAGAGCTCGTCTCTTGCTCCTCAAAGAAGTTCCCGCGAACCAGCAACGACAGCACCTCGCAGGATTTGAGAGCTGCCATGTTACAGCTGCAAGCAGCAGCCCCTTCCTCGAGATGGACCCATCCTTCCTCCACATCCAAGGACACGATCGAAGGCTCCGAAGAGCAGGGGTGCAGGGCATGGAAGAGCCCCAACGTGAAACCTCCCTGCATCCCTGCGCACTTGTCGTCAGGGGACGCGTCAAGGGCCGGCTGTTTGCATCGCAGCATGACGTCGGGAGCCGACTCATCAAACCTGGGCTGATCGCAAGAGCCAGAGCTTCTGACTCGCACTCGCCATCTGTTGTTGTCTCGAAGGTTCAGCTCCGAGGATAAGAAGTACCATGCACGCTGTGTCGCAACAATCTCCCTCGCAGACACAACTGAGTCGCCATCCTCCACCAGAACCACGGCCCCGTCTCCAACCACTCTCCATATCCTGCTCCCATCATCTGACCCGCATGGCTGCGATTGCCACAACAGGCAACCGAGCAAGGCGATGAGTCGGACCTTATTCATGCCGTTCAGCAAAGGAAAGTCACTGGCTCTCTGCTCTCTGTAACTCCCCATGATGAGACGAACCTCTTGAAGTACAACAAGTCATCAGAGTTCGACTCTTTCAGGTCATTATGACAGACAGTGACGATCTGTGTATGATAGAGCCCTTGCGTCGTCGTTGCATTTCTCTGGTACCTCTGATAAAAAAAGTCACGAATACAAGAGAAGGTAGTAGTGCGCTCTTTACTCAAAGTTAAGTTAAATATTTGGGTATGAGAATGAGGCGACAAGTACCGTTGTACGGTACTGTTGTAGTACCATGCTCTGACTACAGTAGTACAGAAGTATCGTACGCAGACTGAGTGACCAGACCAGGCCCGTCACGGACTCTTCACTTCCTGCACAGATAAAAGCTGAGCTTGGAGGATCAAAGAGCATCTCCATCCGACTCCATGTTGAGATCCTCCAAGCTCAGCATCTCTGACATACGTGTACTCGCCGCGATTGTCGCCTGTGCAGTCATGCTCAAGAATGAGGTCTTCTGTCGTCCTGTTGGGTAACCTGCTTGGGCTGCTGGTTCTCACCACCTCGATCTTGTACCCTACTGGAATGGTGTAGGGTAGCATGGATGGAGGCCTGGAGGTATCCACTATCCCGACATCCATGAATGGCTGCTCCCAGTCGCACCCCATGAGGTATGAACGAGCTTCTCGGATATCATTTCCTTCCTCCCCCTCTACCTTGCACATGGCTGTGCTTGATCCGATCCCCTTGCAGTCATTCAACCTCAGCCCCGCCGTTGGGTTGGAAGGCGCAACAGGAGCAATCATGCCGGGCCTTCTTCTCCCGTCGGGTCAAGATCATGCATCTCGTCTCCTGATCCTTACGACGTCAGGGCTAGAGACCCAGCA